TTCTTCCTAGGGAGGGTTGATAAACATTGGAAGGAAGGTGGTGGTGTCCCCATCCCTGGAGGTGTCCAAGGAATGCCTGGATGTGGCACTCAGTGCTGTGGTCTGGTTGACACAGTGGGGATCAGTCACAGATTGGGCTCAATGACCTTGGAATTCTTTTCCAACCCCACTGATCCAGTAATTCTGTGTTTGAGGGTGAGTGTCCAGCAGTATTTTCCCTTAGGAAAAAGGAGAAGCCAAGTTATCTTTTAGGGAAGGCTTTTTTTATCTGCAAGAAAAGACAGCACAGGATTCTTCAGGGTTTGATTCCTTGATCACAAATTATGCCCAAGGAAAATTTAACAAAAGGCACTGCAAGGTCATTCATGGTCAACCTGATGTGCAGAGTGGATTTCCAAATTTTGATCTGTGTTATTCTGCCTACCTTCTCACAGCTATAAAGTCAATCCTTAATACTTTTTTTTTCTAAAAAAACTGCAAATAAGCAACATTTTTTTTGCTATAAATAAATAAACTATGAATATTAATAAATGTAAGTATTAATTATCTATAAATCCACATATTTGTAAATGTAAAGGGATTAATAGTGCATTGATATTATTACATTTATTTTAAACAAACACATTTATTACATAAAAATACATTTAAATAATATTTATGCATTCATGAATTCTTTCTTTTTTATCTATATATTTTTTCTTTCTCTGTCCACTCTGTTATCTTTCTGTGTGGTTAACAATTGCAGAAACCTATTTGTGTTAATTTAGCCTATATCCACAGTCCTTGGGTCCTTGGACACGCACAAATTCTAAGCTGCAGTGACAAGCACATTGAGCAGCATCCAAGTTAGGAAAGAAACGTGACATTAAAATTCCCCACACAGGAATTGCTGTCTGTTGTTCAACAGCTAACCATGAGAATGTTTCATTTCACATTAATGTGTAAAGGGATGATGGGGGTGAGCAGAGAGCCCTCCATGGCATTTTTTTTTCCATGGGGCTGGGAAATGGGATACAGGAATGAAGGGTAAAGCTGAGACTCCTGAGCTGGGGAAGGAGCTGAGGGCCAGCCCAGGGATGACACGCTTAATGTGAGGCATTCTTCTCGGTGGGAAGACTTTGGCACACATTCCAGAGAGGCTGGAGCTGGCATTGAGACTTGGAAATATCACAGCCCCTCGCACTTTGAGAGGGTACTTAAATTGACACATTGGCTCCCTTCCAGGAATATTGCAGCATATTAGTAGAAAGGCAAGGATTTCCTTTCTAAGAAGTCATTGTAATTTTTTGTAATTCAAGACGTAGCCAAAAATGGGCACAAAGTTGCAGTATATAGCTGCAGCCCTTTATGACTCAGTTTTTCATGCTATACCCAAACAGAGGGACAGGCTGCTGTCAGAACACACTGGACTTTTTATCCAAGTCTCCCTATTTCTCTTGTCATAACATCCTGGACTCAAGGAGATGCTTGAAAGCCATTGCCAGCTGAGCCTCTCCTGTTGCTGGCACCTCATCCCTGTTCCCCTCCACCCAGGAGTCGGGCAGGTATCCCTGACATCTTCACCACTGCTAACATCAACTCCCACCACTGATTTCTGCCTACATGGGAGGTGAGCTCAGGCAGCCCATAAATTTATGCTTCAGTGATTTCCTCTGCTTTATAATTAGACTCCCATTCATTAAATAAATCAAATGCACGTGCTGTCTGCTGGCTCAGGAGTGGCAATGTACGTAAATGGAAAGCTTGCAGCATGTAAGCTCCCCTGCTCCCACAGCCAGGCTGCAGGGTCCCAGCAAACGGGAAGCATCCAGGGATTTGCTCTGAGAGGAGCTGCTCCAACAATTCAGCACGAGATACCACACATGCAGGCACATCACTGGTGTGATGCTTTCGCCCTTCCATGAATTGCTGGTGGTTTAGGCAGTTGTGGTGCAAAAGAGGCAGTCATCACCATCTAGCTGCAGGAATTACCCTTCCAAGTGGGAGTTAGCAGAAGGCACAGTATTTACCCCCTGGCACAAAGCCCATTTGGTGAAGAAATGACAGGATACCAGAACAAGAAAGGAGCAAAGCGTTCTTGTATGCACACTGCCCTCTAAATGCATATTTATTTACAGAAAGGCTTAAACAGTGGCAGGAATGTTATCAATAATTGCTATTTCTAACCACATCTATGGGAAGCTGACACTTTACATAGATTCCACTCATATTTGAATAACATCCCTAGTCACTTGAACAGTGTCCAATAATTTCTTGGGCCAAGAAGCAGTTCAGTCACTCTAAACTGAAAAATGTCACAGCACGACTTTCATGGGACCACATAGACCCCGATGCAAATCCTGCATTCTGAATTTTCACAGCTGCCAGAGGGACTGGGTTTTGAATATTCTTGCTTTAGTAACCTGGTGACACCATGACAGTGCTGTTTCTAAATACTTCCAAACCATCCCTGACAGAGGAATGGCTCACGGGATTAAGAATAATCAGAGAATTATGACAAGAGAAAGCCCCTGCCAAACCCCTTGAGGCACTGTACAGTCTAGTTAGAAACAAACTAAAAGACAGTTAAAACCACTTCATAACAAGCTCTTAAATCAAGCTGATAAAAGCAATTAAGTAAACAGCAGGAAGGGAGAAGAGTAATTAACTGAAGGAAAAAATTGGCACAAGAACACATGGGTATAACCTAGAAGGAATATATCTAGGCTGGAAATTTGTTATGCATTCTGAAGTCTTCAAGGACAGAGATTCTTGCAACAGCTGTTCAGCAGGAGTAAAGGGGAAGTGAGACAATAATCTGAGCAGATATTAAGGTAGAGTTTCATGGATTTTTTTACTGGGATTGTACGATGTTTCCTGAGATGACAGTAGTTAGGGCCTGCTGACCCTGTTAAATCCTGTTCTCTCTCCTGTGATACTAAAGAGAGGAAAAAAAGGAACAAAGAAAAAAATCCAGGTGAAAAACTGCTCCGGAAGAGAGGACTGAGAGTATAAGCGTGTATAAATATCCAAATGGAGGGCTCCGAGCAGGGCCCAGGCTCTGCTCTGGGGGCCCAGCAATGGCACCAGAGCCACGGGCAGGGACTGAGCCCAGGAGGTTCCACCTGGGCAGGAGGAACAACTTCTGTCCTGGGCAGTGACCCAGCACTGAGCAGATTGTCCAGAGAGGCTGTGGAGTCTCCTCCCTGGGGATATTCCAGACCCCTCTGGACACAATCCTGTGCCCTGTGCTCTGGGATGGCCCTGCTGGAGCAGGGAGGTGGCACCAGTGACCCACTGTGGTCCCTTCCAGCCTTGACCAGTTGGTGACTCTGTATGGAAGTAGTGGATAGAAGGGGTTCTACTGTCTGTGCTTCTGGCAGGATCCCATCACCTACAGAGTAAACTCCACAGCTACCTGGGACTCCAGGCTCTGTCCTTGGCTCTCTGGATTGACAAATTACCACTGTACTACGTGCACTGTTTTCACAAGCACTGAGGAGTCTGAGGACTGCCTGCACTTGTGTCCTGCACTTGACTGAACACTTTGTCAGAACCTATTAAATGTTAATCATTAACAACCAACACAAAAGCCAAACTCTGTTTGCAGAAATCTTCACTCAGCTTAAGTGTAATGAATTTCCACTTAAGGGTGTAGTTGCGGCTTGTGTTAAAGTGGAAATTTACTATAGAAAAACATGAGGAAGATGGAAGTCATCTTGTAAACAACATTTTTAATGATTCACAGGTCGGCTTTTGCTAGATAGTTTTATGAAATAGTTGTTTGAAACAATAACTTAGCTGGCATCACACAGAGCAGCAGACCACATGAAACCTCAGCTCCAGTCTATTAAGACAGTGAGTCAGAGAAGTTTGTGCAATGTGAGGGCTTCTTCTGAAATTTCTAGACATCTGCCTCCCTGCCTCATTACAGCTTCCGAAAACTGCTTGAAGAAACAATGACATAAAGCTATAGCAGTGTATTGAAGCGACAGAAATTTTGCCTGACAAAGGGAAGACACTTAGTGAAATTTACTGGCAAATTAAAAAGGAAAATTTACATCCCACTGTGGAACACTAAATATTATTAGACATCAGAGAAGAAGCCCACTAAGTAATATTCTAGCAGTAACAAAAAAAAAAAAAAAAAAGAATCATGGGAGAGAATCTGTACAAAACATAGGAAGTGGTTTCTTCAGTACTTGTGAACTTCTATACATTGTAAGCCTTGTTCCTGTGGAACTGAAAAAATTTGTAAGTCCACAGTTGGAAAATAATTCTTGCCTGGCTGATCAGCGTGCCCTACAAACCCTGCAGAACAAGTCTCCTGGGATTAGCACTGTGCCAATACTGAGCATGGAAAGACTGGAGGCCCTGTCACACCAGCACACGTGGCTACAGCTATAAAACTGTCCAGAAATGTTGCCAGGCCCTTTGTTGGCAGTCTGACTAAAGAAGATGCAGCATTTTTTCAAAAGCATAAGTACACCCATGGCTTTTCAAATCTAGACAAATCTCCTCAATTTTCCTGCTCCTTTATATGACATCCAAATTTTGGAGGGGTGTGGTGGGGGAGTGTGATTCATTTTCTAGCTATGTTTTGTTTTATGAGGTTTTTCAGCTCTCTTGGTTTAGATTATACATTATTTCAAATCAGTGTCTTACTGGCATCCATTCAATCCTAGATATTTAGGCAGCCCTTGTGATTAAAGGAATGGCACATCCAGGAATGCTTTCATTCATCCCGGGAAAGTGTAATAAGCCTCATGTTTTAGGTATCCTTCCCATCAGATGCAGGAAAAGTCTTGGCAAACTGTGTGCTTTACATGCCTTACCTATACATGTGAAGTTTTGTGAGATGAATGCAACCCTGAATATGATTCTACAGATTATTTTAACAAGCTCTTGGCAAGTGGAATATTGGACTCTATTTGACAGCTTTTAGAGACATTGTTTTGTCAAATCAAAACATTACTGGGTCGTGGAATGATTTTTAGGGATGGAAATTCTGTTTTCTTGCCAGGAGGCATACCAAACAGGCAGAAGAAAAGTCTTGGTGACCCTGAAGGTCTGGATGACTTGGTGAAGGTAAGAGATGCAAACCACAAGAACATTAAACAGAACTGAGCATTAAGGTACCTTCTGCTAAATCATGTTGTCTTCCCCTAAATCCAGGTATCTCTTCTGCAGTCTTTCTTTTTCCTAAGAATTCTTTTTTTATTCCTAACAAGTAAATAAACTCCTTCCTTCCTTCCTTCCTTCCTTCCTTCCTTCCTTCCTTCCTTCCTTCTTCCTTCTTCCTTCCTTCCTTCCTTCCTTCCTTCCTTCCTTCCTTCTTCCTTCCTTCCTTCCTTCCTTCCTTCCTTCTTCCTTCCTTCCCTTCCTTCCTTCCTTCCTTCCTTCCCTTCCTTCCTTCCTTCCTTCTTCCTTCCTTCCTTCCTTCCTTCCTTCCTTCCTTCCTTCCTTCCTTCCTTCCTTCCTTCCTTCCTTCCTTTCCTTCCTTCCTTCCTTCCTTCCTTCCTTCCTTCCTTCCTTCTTCCTTCTTCCTTCCTTCCTTCCTTCTTCCTTCCTTCCTTCCTTCCTTCCTTCCTTCCTTCCTTCCTTCCTTCCTTCCTTCCTTCCTTCCTTCCTTCCTTCCTTCCTTCCTTCCTTCCTCTTCCTTCCTTCCTTCCTTCCTTCCTTCCTTCCTTCCTTCCTTCCTTCCTTCCTTCCTTCCTTCCTTCCTTCCTTCCTTCCTTCCTTCTTCCTTCCTTCCTTCCTTCCTTCCTTCTTCCTTCCTTCCTTCCTTCCTTCCTTCCTTCCTTCCTTCCTTCCTTCCTTCCTTCCTTCCTTCCTTCCTTCCTTCCTTCTTCCTTCCTTCCCTTCCTTCCTTCCTTCCTTCCTTCCTTCCTTCCTTCCTTCCTTCCTTCCTTCCTTCCTTCCTTTCCTTCCTTCCTTCCTTCCTTCCTTCCTTCCTTCCTTCCTTCCTTCCTTCCTTCCTTCCTTCCTTCCTTCCTTCTTCCTTCCTTCCTTCCTTCCTTCCTTCCTTCCTTCCTTCCTTCCTTCCTTCCTTCCTTCCTTCCTTCTTCCTTCCTTCCTTCCTTCCTTCCTTCCTTCCTTCCTTCCTTCCTTCCTTCCTTCCTTCCTTCCTTCCTTCCTTCCTTCCTTCCTTCCTTCCTTCCTTCCTTCCTTCCTTCCTTCCTTCTTCCTTCCTTCCTTCCTTCCTTCCTTCCTTCCTCCTTCCTTCCTTCCTTCCTTCCTTCTTCCTTCCTTCCTTCCTTCCTTCCTTCCTTCCTTCCTTCCTTCCTTCCTTCCCTTCCTTCCTTCCTTCCTTCCTTCCTTCCTTCCTTCCTTCCTTCCTTCCTTCCTTCCTTCCTTCCTTCCTTCCTTCCTTCCTTCCTTCCTTCCTTCCTTCCTTCCTTCCTTCCTTCCTTCCTTCCTTCCTTCCTTCCTTCCTTCCTTCCTTCCTTCCTTCCTTCCTTCCTTCCTTCCTTCCTTCCTTCCTTCCTTCCTTCCTTCCTTCCTTCCTTCCTTCCTTCCTTCCTTCCTTCCTTCCTTTCCTTCCTTCCTTCCTTCCTTCCTTCCTTCTTCCTTCCTTCCTTCCTTCCTTCCTTCCTTCCTTCCTTCCTTCCTTCCTTCCTTCCTTCCTTCCTTCCTTCCTTCCTCCTTCCTTCCTCCTTCCTTCCTCCTTCCTTCCTTCCTTCCTCCTTCCTTCCTTCCTTCCCTTCCTTCCTTCCTTCCTCTTCCTTCCTTCCTTCCTTCCTTCCTTCCTTCCTTCCTTCCTTCCTTCCTTCCTTCCTTCCTTCCTTCCTTCCTTCCTTCCTTCCTTCCTTCCTTCCTTCCTTCCTTCCTTCCTTCCTTCCTTCCTTCCTTCCTTCTTCCTTCCTTCCTTCCTTCCTTCCTTCCTTCCTTCCTTCCTTCCTTCCTTCCTTCCTTCCTTCCTTCCTTCCTTCCTTCCTTCCTTCCTTCCTTCTTCTTCCTTCCTTCCTTCCTTCCTTCCTTCCTTCCTTCTTCCTTCCTTCCTTCCTTCCTTCCTTCCTTCCTTCCTTCCTTCCTTCCTTCCTTCCTTCCTTCCTTCCTTCCTTCCTTCCTTCCTTCCTTCCTTCCTTCCTTCCTTCCTTCCTTAATTGGCAGATGATTAAAAATATGAATTGTTGCATTTTTCCAGCTTCCAGCTGTCAAATCATTTTATGTAGGGGTTGATTGTGATTTCACACAGCTATTGGACCAATATAATTGCACTGCTGTTAGTTAATGCAGATCACCTTTTGTGGAGGGAAAACGAGAATGGTGGTTCCAACCCTTATATTTGGCATTGCTGTGGTTTCTTCCTCTGCTTTTGCAGTGTTTCCATATCAGCACAATTTTACTGAATTCTATCGAGCTACACTGTGTTGAGACTCAGTGTCAGAATGGAAATCAGTATTTAATGAAGAAGCTTGTTAGGAAAAAGAAATCTTTCAGGTTTACAGAACTGCAGTGTTGAAGACAGAAAATTTTCAGATAACAGTCCTTCAAAGGAGATTGATCAAAGTCCATTAAATTCTTCAAAGATAGACAGATTTAATAAACATAAATGTAATAAACATAGAAGATATTCTAGAATTTTAAGGCAGATGTGTGTGTTCTTCAGAGACTCCCAATAAGTACAACAATTATTTTTCTAATATATCTGTAATGAGAAATGCTAAATATTTAAAAATACAATTTGAAATTCTTGTGGAGAAGAAATTGTGATACAGCTGTAAAACTAAGGGGTCATTACTCTGCTGAGCCAGTCACATTTAATTGAAGATTGTTAAACAGACATCAGTAGGCGTCAAAAGGTCATAACCAAAGCAATTGCATGAGGGTAGATCACTATTTCCAAGGGAAACAGAAAGGGAAAAGAAATTTATACAGGAAAGTCATTATTATGACTAAACCATTCATAATAATAATACTACAAGCAAATATGTTCTAATCAGAACTTGGGCAAGGGGCAGACCAATTTATCACTAGTAATTTAATTATAAACTGAAGTTGAGAACCATATGTGGTGCAATTGGAAGTCCTGATGAAGACTAAAAATACCTTTTAATTTAACACTAATTAACATCTTCTGTCTTTTCAGAGTAAAAATGCAAGGAAAGTGGAGGTTTTAAATCTGGTTGGAGTTACAATACTGAAAGTGAACAAATTGAAAATAAAATTCTCTTTTCTGCTATTCCTCACATTATCTAAGGACCTGATCAATCAGATACATGCAGCCATTAATATGAGCCACTGCTGTGTGTGGGCATATTTAAATCATCAATGAAATTGCCTCTAGAACTAAAATCCAACTAAAATTGAAGATAAATACAAGGCTGGACCCTTGGGTCACAGCTTCACAAGGATTTATGTGTGCATTTGACTTTACATACATGAGTAATCCCATTGATCTCTTCAAGTCTGCCTACACATGTAAAGCCAAGCAGAGTTTTAAATCTTGCTGAATTATCTTAATAATAATAATAATAATAATCTTTAGATTATTATCTTCTCCATGTCTGCGCCAACCTGCAAAAGTAGCCTGATCCACGTCAGACTAAGTCCTTACTAATCTGACAACCATTGGAGTAAGGCCAATGTGTTTCTGTAGGGTTCTTGGCTCAGTTTTGAGACTGGAATTAGTGAAAATAAAACTGGATTTTGCATCAACCTGAACCATGCCAGGTTTGTTTCCTACCAAAACCTGAAGGTGAAATTCTGGCGACTGCCTGACGTATTTGTAAAATTAGTTGACTCTTTTATTTCAAAGGCATTAGTCATTGTAAATCCCAGGTACTAGATAGTTTAAGTCTGAATTATTCTCATCTCAGCCATCATATTGATCTGACAATGACAGTTTTTAGTTAAAGTGTGCAGTGTCTATCAGCTCTGCTGTTACAGCGACAAGCAAACCTTGCAGGGACAGAGGTTTTTATTAGACCAAGTGAAAAAGCTGCAGAAAAGGAAAGTTTAGAACTCACAAGTTGTCATTAAAAAGGACTTTCCTTCTCCCCAAGCAATTTCTACTCAAGTATTCTTTGTTCAAAATTTGGAGGATTTTTTTTTTTGGTTGGTTGGTTGGGTTTTTTTAAGAAAAGTGTAAGCATATGATCATACCTTATATTCAAAAGATTTTGTTCAATGAGCTTTACCAAACAAACAGAAAATAAAAAAAAAAAACCAGAACAAATCACAGGAAAATATAAAAGTATTACTTAATGACCCCATTGATTCTCTCACATTCATAAATTGCATATAAAATGCTATTGTATAATATCTGAAGGTAAAATATTCTTATCCAGTTGGACACAAGGGGTTTAAAACAAAAAAGCTTTTATATGGGCATTAAGCAAACTATCAGACAACAGAAAATAAGAACACACTAAGTTCTGTGATCTTGTCTCACCTGACTAACACCAATGGATTCCACATTCTGCAGTGCAGTAAATCAGTGCAGAACTCGCCCCACACTCTCCAAAAATGCGGTGTACTGCTGGGCCTGCCAAATCCTTCTGAAAAAAAAAAAAAAAAATTCTCTGCAAGCGAGCAGAAGAAAAATGCAACCAATGAACACACTAAGTGCAGTGTTGGAAATGTCCTTTAATCAAAGTCACCTACCTCAATATTTCAGTTTTCACAGGAGTAATACAAAACCACATTACATAGGAGGGAGATTTGGTCTGTACTGTCGAAAAACCAAGTCTCAGACTGGTGCCTCAGCCTTGGCTCATAGGCAAAATTCTATGATGTGGTTCCTTGTCAATGGGCTTGAGCTTTCTTCCTGCCTGGAAAAGAGTGGCTGAATCCCTACTGAATGCAGGCTTTGGTCTATGAGCTTCCCTGAACTACTCCAAGGACAGCTGGCCTGAGCCAAAAGTGTGCCAGGGAGCAGACTTGCATAAAACACACACTGTAGAGGTCTGTAAGTTAGTGTTTGATTGTGTTTTTTACACAAATGTCTAAATATTATAATAAATGTGGTAAATGAGGGTGCACGTGATTTCGGCTAATAAAATTACATAACCCTAAATGCACCTTTTAAAAATGTATCCTCCAGATTCAGACATCTCACCATTTATTTCAACACAGGAGGATTTTTTTCTTAATGGAAGAACAGCTGATATCTGAAGGTGATGGTCAGAATGTTCTGTTAAACACTGTGCTCACACAGAAGTGCTGATGAATGATTACAAGAAATGAAAGTGCTTTCTAATAAGAAACAACTGGGCTAAAAACAAACATGTCAAAGGCAGATTAAACTGTGTGCTCCATTTCAAGGCTCCTGCTCTGGCACAGCCATGGTGCTTTTAAAACAGCTATGGAAGATTTTCTCTGCCAACACCTTTCCATCACAGTGAGGTCACTCACAGTCCAGACTGCAGGTTTTGCATGTAGCAGGGAACGTCACAGAGCTGCTCTGGAGGGGCAGAGCAGGTGGAGCTTTGAGGTGCACTGGTGAGGCCACACCTCAGATCCTGTGTCCAGTTCTAGTCCTGTCACTGCAAGATGGACATCAAGGGGCTGGAGCGTGTCCAGAGAAGGGAACGGAGCTGGGGAAGGGGCTGGAGCACCAGGAGGGGCTGAAGGAGCTGGGGGGGCTCAGCCTGGAGAAAAGGAGGCTCAGGGGGGACCTTGTGGCCCGCCACAACTCCTGACAGGAGGGGACAGCCATGGGGGATCAGGCTCTGCTCCCAGGGAACAGGGACAGAACAAGAGGAAATGGCCTCAAGCTGTGCCAGGGGAGGGTCAGGCTGGACACCAGGAGGAATTTCTTCACTAAAAGGGATGTCAGACACTGGAACGGGGTGTCCAGGGAGGTCCTGGAGGTCTCCAAAGGACTGCCAAGCATGACACTCTGTTGTCTCGCCTTGCATGAACCTGCCTGAACTGACATCCATATAATAATATTAGGAATATAAATCACTCATTTACCTTCAGGACAGGAGGATGAGGCAGCCTGTGCTGCCTGCACGACGCGAAGGACTTGAGCCAGCCTGAAAACAGTGAGGCAGGGGAAGGCTTTTATTTCATGTCTCACGCACAGGAGCGAGGGAGGTCGGATTCTCCCCCTTTCCAGCCTGCCAAGCAGCCAAAAATTGGATCCCCATGGGAGGGCTGGGTTGAGACATCATGCTGTTAACAGAGGCTTCAAGGCAGCCCATCTGCTGCCACTGTCACGCTGCTGCTGTGACACAGCAGAGCTGCCAGGGGGGACACCTCTATGGAGTCCTTGGGAATCCGAAGTGTGGTCCATTACGAGGACTGTGGGAATGGGAAACCTGATGGATTTGGGGGCAGGGAGAATGTGAAGCTGCTTGGATTTTCTGGGAAAGTGTGCATGAAATCAATGGGCTGTTGTTGACGGGGGGGAAAGGAGGAAGAATTTGTAATTCGTGTATTTGTTCTCTGATACAGAAATATAATACTGGAGGATTTGCTTTGGAGAGGGAAAAAAAAATACTATTTGAGAAGAAGGTTACTTGCCTGACCAGAAAAATGATTGAGGGAACCCTATTTTAAAAGAGCTGGATGCCTAAGCCTGAATAATAAACTAGGAACTGCTGTTGAAATAACGCAAGGAATTTCTGAAGGAAAGACAAGAGGGGACCTTGGCAAAACAAGAAGGTAGGAAAAATTATGAATTTAATGATCGAGTTCAAAACAGAGCAGAGATACTTCTGCTAATTTATTTCTCTTCTCTCTCTTTTTAAAAATCCTTTTCCCTCAGGAATAAATGTTTAAGTGGAAATACATTTAATTTTGACTCTGTTGGTTCCTTGGTTTGGAAGGATGGAGATGAGGACTGGGTTTTGTTTATTTTGAAAAATAAAATACATTGGATCTGAAAACTGACAAACAAGTTACTTCTTTACTTTTTAGATGCATGAACACAGAAAATATCCAGGTTGAAATCTCACAAATTTTCACAGTGTTTTCCACAGCTTGCTTTTGATGCCTGAGTGTTCTCAATAGCTCTAAATGAAGAGGGGGAAAATGACAAAAATGTTCAAATTATTTAAAATCTAAGACATAAAATCAGTCTTTGACCAGCTCAAATTCTATCCTGCCCACTCTTTTGCAGTATCATCACTGATATTTAAATGATAGTGATGTCTTTGTTGATATAATAAATGATATAATGTCTTTGCTGTTTCTGCAGAGTGAATTAGGAGGGGATTTCAGTAATGCCAGCTGCAATTAAGCATGAAATCTTGGTTTTCCTTTTACCCCTTTTGTCAGTGTTTGTAAAAGTTTTACCCAAACTCTTCCTGGCTATTGGAAAACTTTTCCTTGGTTTTGTCTTACACCCAGACCCTCTAAAATTTTCTTTTATAGCAAGAATTATAGTTTCTTTTTTGTTGCCATTTATTTCTAGAAAGCCTCAACAAAGTAGATTTTTTGTAGGAAGTGTGATAGTGCTTAGAGAGCAGAGACTCCTTAGCTTGGTTTTCTGTGGAGATATGATTGATGTTAACAAAATGTTTGATGTCTGCTGTTGTCCTTTCTCTTCAGAATCTCAAAATCCTTTTCCAATTTCAGCTACACCTGACAGATGACTTCAGTTTTCAGAGGAACTAAACTGCAAATTTCAATCAACTGGTGGCTGGGACAGAAGAAGATCCAAACAAGCCTTTCCTGAGGGAAAAGCTGGAGCGGAAACTCAAATATATGATCAAAAACTGGAGCAGCAAGGCAGTGGAAGTGCTGTAGTCTTGAAGCAAGGCTTGGCCAGAAATTGGTATTCAGAGAGCTCAGCAGGATGTCAGGCTCCAGGTGTTGTGCTGATCATGGGATGATTCACATTATGAGGAAAGAGGAATACTTGTGAATAATTTCTTCATAGATACAGACTTTTTCACATTTCCTTATTTGAAGAAAATGACAAGTTTTAGTCTGAAAAATTTAAAAGAATGTGAAGAAAATGCAGTTATTTTCCTGAATTTTCTAGACAACACTGGAAATCTCACACATCACTTTTTTTTGTCTGAAGTCCTTCTGTTCATTCATTTGCCTAATGATCCTATACATTTTTCTTTTTATTTATGAATGTTAAGTAAGAACTAATTGATTTTTCTTTTTTAATTGCATCAAAATACAGATATTTCCAGAATGAAGTAATTTGTACCAGAGATCACCTTATGGTCACCACATATAACAAAAGGTTAGAGATTGCAAATGGTAACTGTGGAGTGGTGAAAAAAAAAATTAGTTTCGTGTGCAAATTTTTTTTTCCTGTCTTTCCATATTTGCAAACATATGGAAAATTCCTGTTTTGTGTGGGAGCCTCTCATCTTTTCCACTTTCAAATTAAAAAATAAAAAACCCAAAAAATTTCTAAGAGTCAAGGAGAAGAATACAAGGTGGGGAACAACTGAGTAGGCAGCAAATCTACAAAAGGGGATTTGTGAGTCAGCAGATCCACTCTGATGAAAAAAGGAATCCACAATAAATGAGGGGGTGCTGCAGAAGGTATAGGAAGTAATATCTCTTTCCCATATGGATAAAGCTCCATCTGGGATCCTGTGTCCAAGCTAAATGCAGGTAACAGCTGGAGAAATGCCCCATGCCAACTGGCAAAAACCCAGAGATGAACACCAAGAATTATTAGAGGTCCAGAAAACACAGCTAGTGAGACAAGAGCCAAGGAGTTGGGTTTGTTTAGTCTAGGGGAGGGAAGAATGTGCAGAGACATGATAACAGCCACCAGGAACAGAACAAGGCACGATGGTTTTGAATTGCCTCAACAGAAAGAGGGTGGGAATTAGGGAAAACAAACAAACAAAAAAAAACCCCAAAAAACCCCAAAAAAACAGGTTTTTAATGGCAAGATAGCAAAGGACTGGATTAGCTTGGTCTGGGAATTTGTGGAGGCCTAAAGAAAGATTTAGACAAACATTTGCCAGGTGAGTTATGAGACTGAAGTTTGCTTATATGTAACCCTGCCCAGGGTAGAAAAATGGACTGGGTGACTTCTTAAAGTCTGTAGCAGCCTACTTTTCAGTGGATTATTTTTACCATTGCTTAAAATCATGATTTTGAATATTTAAAAAAAAAAAAAAAGAAAGTGAATGAGGCCTAATCCTCTGTTTCTCACACACAGTTTTACTCCTTATATACACATCAATGCATTCCTTATCTTGAATGATTATTATCCTGACTGTTCATTATTCTGAGAATTTTATGTTTAGAAACAAGTGAATTTAAAGCCTATATTAGATTTAAGGTTTTCCCTTCATAGCAACTATAAAATGTTCAAGATATATTTGGAATACTTATTCATTAGTATTATAAAAATTGAATTATTCTATTAATACATGTCTTAATAAGCTTTAAAGTAGCTTTATAAGTCTGACATTTTTATTCAAGATAGATTCTTCTGGGGTATAAATTTGGTTATATTTTCTAATGTGATAATAATGCAGTATTCTGTTACTAGTCTTTATTTTTCTCTTCTTTTTTTTTTTTCCCTGTGTATAATAGATACAGATAAAAAGTATCTAATTAGACTTCAGCTGAAATATGTCTTTGCTTTTATCAGTTTTAAATCTACTGACTTTGGATTCAACTGTTTTCCCTCTTCTGAACTGTAGGTGAAAATAAAAATTTTGCATTATGCTAGTCCTTTGGTTACATGGCATATTCTGGTATCTTAAATGTGCCAGCAGCCACCAACAGAGGTGGGAAAGATTTGCAAAGTCCTCTCAGGAGGATCATACAAAATAATCTGCTTCAAAAACTACATTTCACCTTCCTTTGTAAACAATCAGAAATTGAAATGGAACTTGAAGAATACAATTGAAATTGAAATAAAGAATACAATTGAAATGGAAATGAAACTTGAAGAATGCAACATAGCAGTAGGCAGAAACATAAGCAAGTGCGATATAGGGAAATATAATACCAGCTTATTCTGGAAAAGAGAAACAAGCTACTGAAAAACCCCCATAAAATTTGGTCTATCAAAGCATAAAGTATAAAGTTAATGCAGGTTTTAACATGGCTTATATTATTCCATTTGAATTGAGATGAAAAACAGTAGTTCAATATTTTGGAGGAGTATATGGGTGACAAGATTTTAATAAGCTATAAAACCTGTATCTGTATCAGGTCAGTGTGCTTCAGTATGTAATAGAACAAAAAAATGCCCTTTTTCAAGGTGTAGATTCACAAGGTTTGCTTACCTACAAAAACATCTCTGTCAGCTCAGAAACAGAATTATTATTTAGTGAAAGATGCCAGGAATAGTTGTTCCTATCCTTTATCTGCTGTTGAAAAGTTCATCCAGGTGCTGTCTGTCCCTCAAATATGTAAATGTGTATCACAGAGATTGATTGCTGCTTTTTCTTTTTTTCTTTTTTTTTTTTTTTTTTTCTTGTAAACCAACAGGACAAAACAAATGTTGAAGTCTCCAGGATGTTAATAAAAACGAAAATTCTTGTCTTCCAGTCAGCACTAGCTGCTGCCTGGTACTGCTTTTGGAGAAGATGTTCATACAGCTTCAAGACATTAACAGCAGGGAATAACTTCACGTTGGAAAGATATTCATCACATGGCATCTGTGCATGTGTGGATGTAATTTGAAGACTTCTGTGATGTACAGCTCACCAGAAGCCATTTTCCACACTGGCAATGATGACAACCCAAAGTATTGGCTTATGCTGGCCAGTCTTGATGTCGTCATGTTGTCCTGGGGGTTTGGTCAAGTGTGAAAAGAAATTTCATTGCCACTGCTTGAAGAAAAAAAAAATAAACTACCATATTGCTATGATTCTCCAGCTGGCTATCAGTTTACTACATGAAACTGCAAATTGACGTCTAAGTTGTGATTTATTTTTATAAATTAAGAGCAGACCCATTATGCCAGCCCTGAAACACTCTGGGTGTTTGCACGGCCAATTACTGTGGAAACTGCTGAAACAAATAAATGTTTGGATAAGGATCTGGAACAAATGCCTCCATTTTTTAAAGTATTCTTGCAAAATATCACTAGACCAAGAAATCCCAACTGCTTCATCTGTTTGTTGCTACATCTATATCCTTCTCTGGAATTCTTTGCTGCAGATCTACAAAGGAATAAATGAAAAACTGCTGTTCTCCCACTTAACCTATAGCAAGCAGCCTTAAAAAACAACTCATCTGTAACATTCCAGCCATATTTAGCTGTTTTTATCAGAGCTGTGTGGTAGGAAATGATCTGTGGGGGTTTTGAAAGACTGAAATATGAGGATATTCAAGTCCTGCTTTGAATCCAATATAATCCTGCTCATGAACTTGTCCCATTGAAATCAGGTTCATAAAAGCATACCTGTACACACCCTTCCTAAAGTCAATTTTAAATGCCTCTGGTACTGTAATCCTGCTTGATGGGACAGATCCTGCTTTTCCAGGGCAAAGCAAAACATGGCAAGAGCCCAGTGTCTTGCCAATCTGTGTGATTCCCTTTCCAAGAAGTGGGCATGGAACAAAATGTAAGAAAAGAGAAGAAAATGCACAGGTGGCACAATAATCAAACCAGTGCATTTTAATACTTAAATATTGATGCAGAAAAACACAGAGACTTAATTTTAGACAAAAGGAAAAGGAGACTGAGGTATTAGACTTAAGTGTTTGCTCTTTCAGAAGTTTTTAACGTGATATTTGGTTTATGTAGATTCAAGTAATGGAAGAGAGATGCTATTTTGTTTATTTACACATGACATCAAAGTCCACATACAATATGTTATATATGTGAGTTACTGATTTTCTTTTCACTGTTAAAGATATTTATTAGTTCTGTCTAGGTTTGCTTTAATGTTGTTACACACATACACAAATATATTTTATCCTATTTACAAATGCACCTTTTGTGGTTTTATTGTTGTCATAACAGGCTTCCCAAGCAATAAGGCAATGAGGTTCCCAATCAATGTTCTATGTTCATGTTTCTTATTTCTATTTATCACATTATCTACGTTCATGTTTCTCATTTACAGTTGCAAGGGAAAATAGCTTCTTGGTTCTGTTCACCCAACAAAGCACTAAAATTAGATTTATACACCTTCTTTTAATGTCCCCACTGCCTCTGATTAGGCTGATTATGGAGCAGCATACTGGTAATTAACATGTTTCTGTTTTTAAAAGATATACTTCTCATAAGAAGCATAAAAACTTGTATTTTTTTTTTCAATGAAGGTATTTTAACATTTGAAATATGAATATTTATGAACACATGTCATTTTATTAAAAGTCCAAAACAGTAGAAACTCATCAATGTCCCTATTATATAAAGTATAGAAATAGCGATATAAATCATATAGGATATAAATCAAATAGGATATAAATCATCACAAATTAAAACTGAAGAACATCTAACAAGGCAAATCATGTTAATTATCAGTTATTATAGCCAAACACCTTTCCTCTTGTTTGTTTTACTGATTTATGCAGTAGCTTTTTTTTGCTGGAGGCTCGTGATGTGAGAGAACAGCACAGTCCTGCAGTCCTTCCCACAGAAATGGTTCTAAAGGACATTCCAGAACTGGGGACTGTAAAAAAAAGATAGAATTCAAATTTGAAAGTATTACCAAAAATATTAGCATGACAAAATCCAAACAAATAAATGTGCCATATTTTGGCAGAGTGTACAAAACACTGAAGAGAACAGATAGAGATATGAGAGAGCATTTTTAGGTACTCTGGGTAGGAGACTCTTTATGAGTTTTAAGCCTTCTGGAACCAAGCTAAATTAAATATCATCTGTAAATATAATGCATAAATATAATGAATAAACATAATTCACAAATATAAATTAAATCCTCCTCTTCAGTCATTTTACATCTGGATGTCTTTAGGCACCACAAGGATATAGATGTGCTTCAGCCCATGTCACACAGTAGGTGAGCAGTAACACCAGGAACTAACCCCACATTTGCTGGTATGACCACACAGAATTAAGCCCAGGGCAGATGGCTGAAATATCAGGCACCAAAGAATGAAATAAGAAGATCAAATGTACTTTTCCAAGTGCTTTGCAAAATAAAATGGTGGGTTTTTTTCCCCCAGCACTTCAATCCCTTAAGCACCCTTTTGTTTTCAATGCCTGGTGATATTGGGTTTCAGTTTGTGGTTTTGCTATTCTTCTTTTAAATGAAGCAAAGAAACATACACTAAATAAAATGAGGGGTGCAGTTGACCTCTAACATTTCATAAGAGGGCTTGTTACGTTTACCACATTTAAATGAAAATCAACTTTGGCTGAAGCAGTGGAATAAAAGGCCTGAAGGAGCAAGGCAGCTGGATGATAGAGTTTTCCTAACAGCAAACACTTCCCAAAGTAGGCTGAGATTAGGGGACCAAATATTCAAGCAGACATTTGGCAGACATCTAAATTCACTGGAAACTGTGTGTTTTACAGCCTGAAATGTCCTGGGCTGGTTTTACTCTTCTCCTTCCCTGTTTTCTGATGCACATCTTGATTTCTGTGACAACACATCCACCTATCTATTACCAACCAACCTGGTTAATTATTCTACTTTTAAACACTCAGTGGGAAAATTCATGTATATACCAGCTTTGAAGATTGAAGGTTTTTGTGCAAGAGCATAACTGTACTGTGTATCTGCATTTAAAATATAAATGTGCAGTATATGTGTGACCAGACCTCCTGGGCCACAAAGAAAAATTCTGCTCAGGATTAGATTTTTGTCATTTAGACTTTCTTAACTAACAATCCCATTGCTGCTTTTATTTCACACTTGCTTTTCCACATCCCAGGCTTTACTTGCCT